AAAAAGAGAACAGTCCTTGCAGTGGGATAGAGTACCATTAGTAATTAATATTTTTGGCTAAATTTTTGCTATGAAATGCTTCTGCAAGAAGCTAAATGAGCTATGCCTCTGACAAATGTAGAGCTAACCAGATATCTATTGAAAAGCATAAATAAGTTATGAATCCACCAAAGGGTTGGGACTTTATGCTTTGTTATTGTTATTGTATCCACCCAAAGGAATCAAAAAGGAAATTAGTCCCAAACAATTTACATTTGCACTTAAGAAACAGGCCAGTAACTCAACCAACTGTTGGTCACCTTAGTGGATCCATTCTTTTTTGTTATTAAGAGCATCACATTGGATTTTCCTAATTCATCATGAAAAATACAAATCCAAAATGTCATGAAATGGCACAGAAATTTCTACTCAATATGTAAAACAAGATCATAAGTGCTAGCAGATTTTTAGTTGTTATCAACTTCTCCAAACCTTCCTGGGAACCAGTCAGGCTTTGATGGAAACAAACACTATAACCAAGGAACATTGTCAAAGAGACAATTATAGAAAACCAGGAAAAAGAGAACATTACAGTATCTCTAGTTGAAAAACCAGATAAACAAGATACAGATTACCTAGCTCAAGTGTATAAATATATAAGATGCATACAAATATGATGGTTCATACAACTAGACTTATGTATCTACCTCCTGTGGGTATCCACTCCAAACACCAAAATCAGTCCCCCCAGCATCGGAATTAAGGAATGGAGTAGCCATGGGACTGGGACTTCTGTGCTGCAGTCGGTTACAGTCACCGAACCATTGGTTGGGAACAATTCCTGAGACTCGTATAATCTCTGTAACAAGTAGCTTATCAAACTCTAGAGCAGATCAATAACATTCATGAAAGTTGAACTATTATAATAACTACGACCCCTCCCATTTGTAACTAATATCAATAATCAATATGAATAATAGATAATATGCCTTTCATCAAAAAATCAATAACAAATAATCTATAAGGAAGAATATTATCTCAAAATGTTCTTTTTTTGAAAAAGATATCCTAAAAAGAAAAGAAATGCTTGACCATTCATGCAGAACTCATTGAAAGATTGCATGAACATGATTTATGACAATGCTCCCACAAATATCATGTGGTTTGGTTATTTACCAATTGCCACAAAATCTCAAAGAAGCTGCAAGACAATTGTCTCATATTTTATAGCTAACCATTAGAAATAGCTAACCAATAGAAAACATTAAAACCAAAAAACTATGAGTTTTAGACAAAGAAGAAAAAAGAATCGAGGCATCTCGATTGCTATATCTCAATATTAGATCCTGGACTTAACATTTCTGAATTGAAACCCTAATAAAGAAAATCCCCTATATGATGAATTTACAAACAACAACTGAGAGGATGAAAATATTGAGGGTATAGTTATAATTGATGGACAAGAAATTCCCAAAGATTATAGTTAAGATGGAAAGGGGCATCAAAATTGTTGTGTGATCATCATGTGTCATTTAGATCAAAAGTAAAATTCCATGGGACAATTGTAAATTCAACTATATTTTATGGATTAAGATGTTAGTTTGGAAACAATGCCCTCAGAGCCTAACGGTGAGAAAAGGCACAAGCAGAAAATACTCAGGACATCATTTACTAACTTAAAGATTATATCTTGCTAGACATTCTATTCCTTTTCTTTTTTCTTTTTTCCTTCCAGTAAGTAATCAGAAATGGAATATGTGCCTTTGTTTACAATCAAAATTTGCTTTATGATAACACTATAGGCACACCTACCTTGTTACCGTCCACCAGCCATGAATTCTTTGATCCTAGTAGCATAATTATTTCACCAGTGAATTAATAATCTCAACAACTATTTCCTTTCTGGTTAACCAACAACGGAGGGGCTACATAAAGAAGCACAAGTCACAATAGATGGCCAGCGTAATGATTGGGAAAACAAAGGTTTGCTGATAAGACACACACACAGATCTGCACAATACATATTTGCAATAACTCTAAAAGTAGTGGAGCTACTACAAACCTCAGAATAAGAACTTTCACTTGAGAACCTCCTCAGAAGCCATAAAATAAACAGCCAGATAAAAAACACCTATCAAATAGCCTCTCATTTTAGAAGGAAGTTATCTGTCCCAATTAACAGTCTAAAGCTCCATCTCAGAAACAATTTTTCGAACACTAGAAACATGCATGCTATCTGCAATAAGAAATACTCAAATGATAACCCTTCAGCTTTTTCATTTTCACTTTTGATTTTAACTCTTAACTAATTTTGGCATTCACTGCTTCCCAACTTCAAAAACATCCCCACAAAACTTGAATGCAAGAAAAGCATAAAGGCAGCATCACACCAGAACAAGATAAATTTGACAGATATTGATATGGATAAAGAAAGAAGCAGACACTACTTGAATCAATTTTGCAGCATGCTTTTCAAACACAGCTTTTAAAACAAGATGCCAAAGTCATTAGTTAAGAAAAACTAAGCCTAAAGAAGCATCTCTTCCCACTTCTATGGATAGTTGTGAAAAGGAATACAAGAAATATACATTTCAAGACCGATCTTGATAAGTTGGGAATGGTGAAAGTTCGTCTCGTCAAATTCTTTGACATCCACAACACCAAAGATGAGGAAACAAGGACCGAACACCTAATAAGCAAGAATCTCAATGAAAACCACAAACAATCCTTGGTAAGCACTGACCTTGATTCAGCAAATGGTTACAAATAGGAAGAACCTGCATGAAAGGCCCAAGCTTTTGATGTTCTGCCAACAGCTCCGCCAAGTACCGGCTGTAAGAGTAACAAGAACAGAAACCCAAGATTTACAAACACCAATTGGCATGACAAAGCTGGGAATTATAGACAACAGATAAGAGAACTCTCTGCATCTCTTTCTATACCTGTCTATATCTGCTGTGCTATTTATATCTGAGGAGACGGCTCTAGCAGGGGAGAAGCTCTGAGTATATAAGCCAGACATGCTGGTGGAAAGGATAAAGGTGTTGCAGAGAAAGAATGAAAGGAATCAGAGAAACAATGATGGAAAAGGATGGGCAGGAGCTGAGATGGAGCAAAGGTGCAGTTTTGGGTGCTAGAGGAAGCCTTCTGCCCCTTTCTCAATGCAGGCAACCCTGAAGCTCACAGGAAATATAAATACAAAGGAGAAAAAGGGTTGTGTAAAAGTTTAATGAGTGACTCTATGGATCCTTCTAAGAAGGTTTAAATAGGTGCATGGATTTTAAGGCATATCCACTTTTACAGTATGAGAGAGAGAGAGAAAGGTGTGCATGGGGGGTTGCAAATTAGAATCTTGATGAAAGTGTGATTCTTGTACATGAAAAGATCATATAAGTTTGTTCTTCCACTATGTCATTTGATATCCTGCAAGCAAGATGAGCTTGTCAGCCATTTTCAAGCAATAAAAATAACAAAGGCTCTTAACAGGAGCCTTTTCTTGTGTCTAGTGAGAAGAAAGATTTAGTTGAAAAGAAATACAAATGATCACTATGGTTCCCAAACATTAAATGTTGAAGAGTCAAAACATAAAATCTGGTCTACTACATGTACCCTTCAAGGAGACATCTCTAAAATGATTGAGGGATGACTACTTATAGGCCAGTAAATGGTTGATCTAACAAAGGTTTTATAAAGTACCAGCAACATGAGATGGTCTACGAAGCAATAAAATCATATCTTCCATGCTTGCCTTCTCTTATCAAGGAAGTAAGGTTACTACAATAGGATCAAAGACCCTATTGTTCAGCCATAGGAGATGATCCCTGGCTCAGATGCTAACCTTCAAATGTATGGGGGACAAAGTCACCATGTAGGTGATAAATGAACCCACTCAGCTACAACAACCATGAGATGCGACGCTCAACCAGGAATCATCGACATGACCTAGGTCAATTTAATTGTTCTCTAAAGCATTCGAGTCTGGAGGGGGGAAGAAGTAAATCACATCAGTCCACTGTTTCATTCCTTCCTCCGTCATGCATCTTCTTCCACCACATGTCAATCCAAGAAACCACCACTGACATTACAATGTCCATCTAAGATGGACAGAGGGCTGTTGTCAATTATCGGATCCAAAAGGTGGAGAATTACCATCAGCAGAGTGGATGGCACATCAATCCAGTAGTTGGGAAGTATGTTCCCAAAACATTTCAGAGCCAAGGCAACAATTGAAACAGAGTCTACGATACTCTACCAAATATACAGCGAGAACAACATGAACTACAACCATTGTCGGTCAACATGCGAGCACAAATGCAGTCCTTAAATGCAAGGACAATGGCACAGTAAACAGAGGAAGAACAAGAGCATAGGATTCCCTGGAGGTCCAATAGAAAAAAGCATACGGCATGGCACGTTGAGATGGGTCAGGGACAGATGTGTAGGGGTTTGCCCACAAAGCTTCTCTCCCTCTGTAAACCCTCCCGCCCACACGTGCCATCATCATCTTCTCCCCTCTCCTCACGCTGTTACTGGCCCCAAACCACCGATTACCTCGAGCACTCCCTGTGGTGTTTCAAATTTAGTGAGGTCAGAGCAGTTGGTGAGGGAAGCGGAAGAGGACAATGCCCTGTGCTAAGAGACATGTCGAGGGTTCAGACCTTGAGGACATTGATGAGGGGGTTTGAGCTCCTCCGCGGGTACAGAGCACGAGATGGCGCACGTGGGGGGCTCGCCTGGAAGCATGCGAGTAAATGGGGCTGAGTTGGATCTCAAATCCATCAAGCCAATGTATCAATTTCCAAGCTGAATCAGACAATATAAGTATTATTTCGCACATTAAATTCATCATGGTATGATTAACTAAATCCCCCTTCATGGTAGATTAATTTCATTCACGCCCCTCACGAAGAGGAAGAATGGTTGTGTATTTTACACATACGCCCCTGAGAAGATCTAAATTTAATGAACAGAGAACCCAATATAAGCCCATTAAAGTTGTCTATTTGAAAGAAGCCCCTCACGGGATTATCGCAGGAAGAGCGCATCGGGACGGTAAGTAAGCCCTCTTCTTCGGTTAGGGTTTGGCTAAAGTTGGCTTCTTCTTCGCTGAAATCTTGCGCGGAAATCCTGCAGATGGCGAAATTGTTTTGGTTGGAGGCCGTTCTTCCGCTTGGGATCATCGCCGGGATGCTCTGTGTGATGGGCAACGCGCAATACTACATCCATAGAGCTGCTCATGGGAGGGTGAGATCTTTCTGATTCTTGGATTTGATCTTGAATTCGATGATCATGTGTGCCGTTGGGATAAAAAAATCTTGTTCTTTTTGGAATGGGCTGCAGCCGAAGCATATTGGGAACGACGTTTGGGATGTGGCGATGGAGAGGAGGGACAAGAAGCTCGTGGATCAGTTCTCTGGTGCCCAAAATTAGGTCTGTTGTTGTTGTTGATTATTTAAGTTTATTGCTTTCATTTTCTTTCTCGATCACTTTTTGTTGGATGGTTCTTGGGTTAGGGTTGCTGGTTTTTTTCGTCTCATAAACTAGGTAGGAACTTTCTTTTTGGAGGCAATCGAACTCCCTGATGATTTGATGCGAAAGTCACGTTTTTTCTGCCCATGAGTATTATATTGATCTTTTGATGCCTAGATACATGGATATGATTCAAACGACAATTGATAGAAGATAATAGGCTTACACTAGAGATTAGTTCATCAATGACTAGTCCCATTTGGGCTGGTGAAGAAAACTGAGCATAGGATGGTTCACAGAAAGTTTATCTCAGTCACTTAATCGATGGAAATTTGTAATTGTTACGGATGTTTTACTCATTTGGTTTTTAAGGTCCCCGTTTATAGTCTTACTATAAAAAATACGATAATTGGCCTTTATATACATGCTGAAGGGCTTTGGCACAATCAAGATGTTCTGTTGTTTTCATCATCTATGAATCACCTCACCATTAAATTTGATGGAACCAATTATATGGTTTTTTTTAAATTATGACCGAAACGTTATAGATTGCTTGTACTAATTTTGGAGTATCTTAAAACATATAAGCTTGATCATGATTGAGATGTGTTTTATGTTTAAGCACTGTGGTTAGGAAATTTATAGAGCTGTTCACTCTGAGCATGTTCAAACTGAGTGGGATGATAATATTAATTTGTAAAAAAAGGTGCACATGAAAACCAACAACAGATTGGATTTGAAACATATGTACTTTTGTGGTCCGTGCCAATTACTGAATCTTGGATTTCATGGCTGCCGCTTCCTGTCATCATGGTTGACCTTTACAGGGCCGGTTGCCAACACTTAGGCCTCCTTTTTTCCTTTAAGAGGAAGAAAGAGAACATGAGGGTTGGACATTGAAAGAGAGTGAGAGGAAGAAATATGAAAGGCATATTGGAGTATTAATTAACCCCTCCATTTTATTTGTTCTCCCTCAAAGAGGCACAATTATAAAGGATGCATTCATTTTTACGTGGAGTAAAATACATTGCTTGCAGATAGTAAAGCAGTGGGTTAAATATCAATACTTGATTTATTGGGTGAAACTCCCATATATTGTTTGACACCACCTGTACAGTGTCAGGAGTTTGCCAGAACTTGTTATTAGGACTCGTTCCAGTAGATTTTAAGTTATATTTAATCCATAATATGTGGGTAAATAATGTTGCATCCACCAATTTGGTCATTTCCAAGGGTATTTAGTTAGTGCTGAAAACTGATTCGATTTTGAGGGTGATCTTTATTTTCTCATGTTTATTTGCACATGTGTCAGGAATTTTGTATCTTGTGGTGATTGCATTTCTTTGATCTAAAGTTACCGTTATCTTTATCCTAAGAAACAAATAGAGAAAGGAAGAAGAGCAAAGACAAATACTGAATCTTATCATGTAAAGCGACACTGTACAACATATGAAATACATCTGTTGACAATAGTGTTTCATTTGTTGCTATGGCATGCTTTTTATTGTTCAATATATTCTTTTAGAGATGGCATCATTTCATCTTCCATTTTCATTATGAATCTTGTTTAATTATTATTATTTCTTTTGCATTTATTTGTGGAAACTAACCCTAATGGTGACTTTGAGGAACAAATCTTTATATACCCATTGGGCATTCTTACTCCCTATAGACATGAAAGTCTAGAGTGAGTCACTTTTTGAAGAGCTTATATACCACTTTAACAAGCTTTTATAATAGTAGATGATGCTATTATATACTTTTCTCTTCCTTCTTCCCATGTCAATCTGGCTGGAAAATGAGGGTTGTGCTGATTGTATAGTTGCTTATGTGTTAGCTCAACTGCAGTGTCTCAGCTGTTGTTAATTGCTGGGGCCGCCTTTGGTTGTGGCTTCCACTTCATCCAGTGACAATAGCAGCCTCGCAACAGGTTGTTGCATGTGGTGCAGGGGGTTTGGGTGTTTTTTTGAAGTTCATGTAGGTGGTGATCCTCGCCTATGATTTTTGTTGTAATGATCTAATTCAGCTTCTTTTCTTTATAAGAATTTCCAAAATGGAAAATTTTATGTACGTAAACTTTAGGGTTCTGCAGTCACGGATGGTCTCTACGTGATTCTTCATATGCATATTTTACATAGTTTTGTTTGGTTTACTTTGACCTTCACTAGAAACTAGAAGCCCAAAATGTTTTCTTTACATTGAGCTATTGCGCCAATCTCTTCAAACTAAAGAAAAACGACGTATATGTTTTAATTTGTTCTCTTTTCTCCAGGTAGTGATTTTGCATCAGATGGGTCATCTTAGAAGCAAATCCCCCTTTGACAATAAATGAGCTTTGCACTTTTAAGAGCTTTGTGTTTGTTGCTTTTGTTCGGACAACTGGCCAATTCCAGAACTCTAGTCAAGTTTGTAATTTGAAATTTTAGTCAATAATTCGGAGAGATGACATGCAGTTTGGTTTAACAGTTCTACTGACGGCAATTCGGGTGTCCTGGCTAGATCCAGCTACATACATTGTCGAAAACTTACTGGACTTCTTTGTAGCTTTTTTGAAACTGGTACAGTATACAATTTCTTGGTTGTGATCATGTTCTTTTTAATTGGCCTTTTCCTGTATTTTCGCAGGGCCACCGTTTGTGATGAACTTAGATGGTTTTACAATTCTGTATTAGTCATTGACATGCAAAAAGGAAGAATGTTAATGCACCGACAAATTGTTGTTATCGCATTTGCCGAAACATAAAATTTGGGACGACACAATCATCATTAGGCACTTTGCAACCCCTAAATGATCAACAATAATTCTAGTTTTTTTGAAAGCTGTTCATGATATTCCTTCAAAATGCTATCTTGCAGATACGATATGATTTAATGTATTGTAAGACGTTTTGCGCATGAAACCTCTATTTAGCCAACCTAAAAAGCATCATGCAAATCCCATGTCTCAACCATGGATCATTCATCACAAACGCCTCTACTATCTCAATTGTATCAGACAATAGAGGCATCCATAGTCACAATTCTAATCCAGCAAACTTCATACAGAGACATCCAGGTTGGTTAATTCAATGTTATATAAATGATAGGTCTCACGTTTGGCACATGCAAATATAGATCTCTCAACAGAGACATTGGGGTCGATTAATGTAATGTTAAGCATTAATGTCTTGTATGTTTTTTGATGTAATAATTATTTTATTAAAAAGAAAAATTACCATCTATCTTTAGCAGTGCACTTCTCTTTTCTTTTTTATTTTGTGGAAAGGCATCTTTTCTTTTATATATGAGCAACATAAATTTCAGATTAAAATTTAAGAATCTTCCACTTGGATACGGACACTTCTTTGACGCACTAATGAGCTCTAATTATGCTCTAAACATGCTTTATTCAGGTTGCAGCACTTTTCATCTCAATCACCAAATGAGAGATGGGAGGGCAATCAAATGCCAAAGCTTCATGTTTATGTTTCTTCAACTTTACTTCTCAATGAAACAAGTTTTGATGTGCACGCAAGCATTAATTAATTGCCAGTGGTTACATGATTTGGGCACAAAGAAATCCCATCTCATTGGACAACCCATCTGTTTTGGAAGAAATTATCTCTTGATATTTAGGACAGGACAATGAGAAATTTGCTCATCAGGTTAGTGGCCTTTGAACTTCTCAGCGAGCTACAACACATTTCAGCCTCCAACAACAAGAACATTCAAGTAGTGTAGACAATGGATACAAGTGACTCCAAACTGAAAGAAAAAGCACATGAGGTAGGAATGATTCTTAGTGTTCGAGCCGGTACCGTAGAATTCTGGGAAACCTGATGTGGAATCATAATGGAAGAAGACAACATGCCAAGAAGAAAGAACCAAGGTTTTGTCTTTGTTCCATGAACCTGGTTTGTTCCTACATACTTGTCATCACTTTTGTAACGTTAATATTCTCATTCGTCCCGATGAGCAAGCCAAAGCATTGATTCTCATGGCTGATGCCGGTTCCTCACATCTTAACCAGCTCTATGCTGTTGATTCTTATGTCTCCATGTAAAGAAGAATCGAGGAACTCATACAAATATGTAATATGCCTCCAGTAAAACATTTCTCAGTTTTATCAGCAAAGATCCCTCTAAAATAGTATCCAACAAATGAATTGAAATTGTTCAACATGCTCTGTGGTGCTTTTTTACATACAGTAGACATTTCAATAAAGACGATAGTAACAGCGAACAATCAGGAACTGAACAATCTGAACACAACAATGACTTCCCCAAAAGAATGCCTGATCCTGTCTCGAATCAGGAAAATTTCATTTCAACCAACACAAAGTCAAAAGAAAAATGGCAATGGCTGTATATATGCTCGTTCTATATGTATATATGCAACACTTGAATAACTGTTCCAACCTTGAAGGGGCTCCTGCACTGAAGCAACAACAGCACTTAAGCAACAAGTTCATTCTCAAGGAATGGCTGTGTCCTTGCCACTGAAGCCACAGGAATCTGTGTATTTCCAATCCTTGCTGTATGTAACGAGACTCCTGCATCTGCATGCTGCTCCATCTGTGCCATCTTCTTGTATTGTTTATACTGGTGCATCCAGCAAACCAGCAGAGCCAAGAGAATTAAAGCAACAATTCCACCAACCACTCCTCCAACTATCTTCCACACCTTAGACTTGTTACTCTTAGAACCAATATGATTTGGCCCCGGTGGTGGAGCTACACCTGGTGCTGGAGGAGGAGTAATCTCACTGGAATTGACCACAATGGAGAAGTGGCCCTGTCCATATGTGGAGCAAATACTGCTCGATACCAAGTCTCTAAAATCTGGTGAGCCACCTAAACCAAACTGAACGCATCTGGCAATTGCACCGCTTGGCACAGAGATGATGTTTGTGAAATTAATGGATATGGGTGATTTCGAAGCAACATTTAATTCAGGCAAGTTGGTAGCTGACAAATTTGCTGCATCATAAGCAAGAAGACCAAGCACAGGAGACAGGTAGGTGTAACCGGGAAGAGGATAGTAGAAAGAAGACCAGTTGCCCAGATTATGGTAAACCAGAACCAGCCTTTCTACATATGGCTGCACAATAATGCCCTCTGGGATCTCGAATTCCTTATAGCTCTCAACTCCTCTCTTCCACAGGCTCCCACTTTTGAGCCTCATTGCCGCAATCTTGATGCCAGTGAGATTGGAAGGGACAGTACCATCATAGATAACTCCAGTGTGGGGGTGAACAAATGCACGGTAAGCATAGTCCTGAAGGAGAGAATCTAATGATCCTGCAGTGCTTGTAGATGTGCCCGGAGATTGGGCTTTACACCGGCACGCAAATAACACCCCGAACAGTGCAATCACTAAGTGGTGAATGAACTCCATTGGTTTTAAGAGCTTTTCAGAAAGCATCTTTCAAGGATGCCCATCAATATAGATTCAGTACTAACATCCAAAATCCTCACCACCATGAGAGGGATCCAGATACAGCAACGGGTTGGAGAGGCTACACAACATAATCTTCTTATTCCTCCTCTATCTGTATAAGAGGCCACGCTGAGGTCCAATTACGAATAAGAAACTTTAAAGAGTGCTGAGAATAAGATCAACTTGTAGCCAACAAAGGGATATAATTCCCCAGAAAGAAAGATTTCAACTTTCAGAAATTAGGCTTCATTCTTTGCTACATTCATATGAATTCATAACAAAACAGCAAAAATCGAAGATCATAAGCTATGATTTGTCTGCAGTACCTGAAGCACGCAGAAGACCACGACTGCCTCAAACTTCAACAATGTGTCTGCTTTCTCAATCTCTCTAAATCATATACGAAAGAGAAGGCACCAAAAAGCCTCCGAATTGCCAGATAACTTCTCGAAATTCCTCTTCTCTGCAACAGTGAAGCTCAACAAAATACCAGCCGACTACCAGACAAAAAAAAACCCACACTTCCAAATGCCACCCAGTAAGAGAAGAACCAGCAAGCTTAAATCCGACAGCAACGGCTCAGATCGAAATCTTTCTCGCTGAAGCCGGAGGAAACTTCAGCGAGAAAGGCAACACAGATCCCCCCCGGGCAAGCGAGAGAGAGAGACAGAGAGAGAGGTCCGACCGATTTGGATGGCCTCCGAATCAAATCCCCCACCACAAGCGGACAAAATTCCAGCGATCGCGATCGAATTCCAGCGAGATTAGGACTTCGAAGAGCCCTAAAATCTCTCCAGAAATTACCGACGGAAAATAATTCCTGTTGCGGTACGGAGAGAGGAGAGACGGGAGAACGAATACGACTCGCGTACCTCAACAAAACCACATGATAAAAAAGGTCAAAAAAACCCCACCGTCATTTCTTTAATTCCCAAAAATGCCCCTCCATCACTTTTCTTTTACGTCCTCGCTGGGAATTTTCTTTTCCTATAAGCCCCTTTTTCTAACGTTCCGATTCCATCATTTTTCACGTAATTTTACGACCGCACAGGGGGTTTTGTGAAAGAACGGCTGATGAGACGCCATCCGTCCGATGAAGATCGGGCGGCGGATGTGGAAGGACGAGATCTCCTGCCTCGGTGTTTCGGTGGGCTCCACGGATCCAGCTCGTGGGGTCCGAGTGTGAGGAGTCCAAAGTGGAAGACGCCCTGTTTGCACTGCGCTCTTTACGAGTCTGTGAGAAAAGTATTTATAATTGAAACAAAAATACAAAAAAAGAGTGAGATAATATAATAAAAAGAATAATAGGCAAATTTTGATGTGAGATGTCTCGCCACGTGGGTCGCTAATCCGAGCTGGACGGCGCTGTACCCCGTCGTGGGCCCCCACCGGTGGGCCTCCCATCGCAATTGGTCCCGATCTGCATCGGGATCGATCGATCGATCAATCCATCCGTGCCGTACGTGTCCTTCGGTTCAATGGCGGGTAGGTGGACACGGGTGAGCCTTTATTAAGGAGTCACACAATATTTGCCCCTTTTTACGGTGCGCCCACAAAGGCTGTCGCGTCATTACCAGCGGATCGAGGACGGAACAGTGGAAGACGATGGCATAGCCAGTGGGGCAGTGCTCGCTTGTCTCCACCGAGACAGGCGGCAGGGATACGTCCTCTCACGAGGGTGGTGGGCCCCGACGCCTGCGCTGATGTCATGGAGCTCCTTCCTTGTGTCAACACCGACGCAAGGTCAGCTCTTCCACAAGAGAGAGAGAGAGAGAGAGAGATTCTCTCCTTGTGTGCGAATTCTGCACGAAAATGCGACGAAGACTTAGAGCCAGTCGAGGTATCGATTCAGGATAGATTGGGCGTTCGGGATTGGGATGATGTTGGGTCTCATAGGATGAGCATGGTGCAGGAAATCTGGCATCGTCATCATCGATGGCCGTCAGATAGGGCGACAAAAAGTACTATGCTGCGACTGTCCAGGTTCTCGGGATGACCTTTGATTGGTGATGATCCATCCATGCACGACGGCTCCTTTTCTTACACAGCCATTCAATGCCATGATCTTCCATGGGTACAGCTGCATGCCTCGGCGATCTCTCGAGTCCTCCGATTATGCAAGGTGGGAGGAGGGGTTTTGCAGGCTAGATTTAGCTTGGGTCTCCCTCCTGCTTCGCTACAGTGGCACGCTGCCGCATCCGGGCCCAGCCATTATGGGGAGCTCCACTATCGCTTAGTACTGTTTAACTCGCCCTATCGGGGGAGAAGAAGGCGGTCAAAGGGGCAGTACGCCACACACCGAGCTTTGGCCTGCACCTGCATCGATGTCTGCTTTTGGACCTTTGGACGCACCCCACTTGCTTGGATCTCTGCTCCAGGGGTTAGATAACTCGAAGAAGTCACTCTGATGAATCCTCTTCACATTGTGTTTGGATCACCCAACGCCTGCCTTGCGTCGCTGTCAACCAACAGTTCTCATCCTCCTCTGTGGCCTGGAACCAATCAACCTGTATATGTATCTTTCCTTCACAGGTTTCATCTTGGGCTATGCGTTTGTTTGCCTTCTCCCCTTTGTGCACACAGGCCGCTACTGCAAACTCGATGATAGGAAATCTGCTTCGCTTGCTGATATGCTGCCAACATCTGCTTTGCCTTGTGCTTTCTCCCTTTCTTGTTCGATTTGCTCGTCTCCTGATACATATACTGCTAATATGCCATGATCCCCCTCCTTTGTTTCCGGTCATGTTCTTCGGAATCTCATTTGTTTCAGAATCTTTCTCCTTTCTTTCCCTGTTGCCATCTCTGCAGCTTTGACTGGTGAGAAATAGGAATTAGGGTTCCGAAGGTGAGACAGCCCCTTGTGCAATACACGCCTTCCCAGCTCTAGGGCTTCCGGGGTCCTACTACTTCCCTTTCCTGAGAAGAACTCTAAAGGTGACACTCTCTTTCCCTCTCTCTCCCTCTCTCTCTCTCTCTAAACATATACATGGTAATCATGTAAAGGACTGTGCTTCTGGAGGAAATTGGATCTCACAGATGATCTTAATCTGTGTAAGGGTCTCACTCGATGGTTTTTCTCTTGCAGAACTTTGAACAATAAAGTTCTTCTGTTGTTACATCATGCACAATAGTTTTGTGTTTTCCCTGAGTTAATTGTTCGTCTTCCTGACAACTTCTGATGAGGTTAGAAGTTGTAGTTGGTGATTCATTCTAACCATTGGCTTCTTTGTTGGAATCATATCAAGGTTCTGACTACATCTGCCAAAACAAAATAAGAGGCTTGAGTGTGCAATTAACTATATAGCCTCATGTTTGGTTCATCTTAATCCTGAGTGTATTTACTACTATGAAAGATTTCTCTAAGTTGACTGTTCTTTCCTCCCATAGACAAGTTATTCTTGCTATGTTATCCTCTTCTAGTGGTGTTATCATCCTTGAAAGTTAGGTTTCATGGATATACATACCCCAAAAAAAAAAAAGCAAATCAACATCATATTTTCATTCCACATCTTATTTTGATCACCTTGTTCTTGGCTGCTCACACGAATCTGTGCTTGATGAGGGGATTTGGTTTTCACAGTAATACCTATTTTTTCTAATGGGGTAGTATGGCTTTTTGATCAACTCCTCCCTTTTCCCAATACAAAATGAGTGGCTCCAGCTTTTTGGTTAGGAAGAAGAATGAATGAATGAATGATAGATTGCTCGCAAATTGGTAATAAAATTTGAGCTGCTGACATCTTCTTTCGACCATTTGTTTGGTAATGTAGCCATCAATCACAAAGCTACAGTGGTGGCCAGTGGCCACTTGAAGCAACTTACCATTCATTCCCTTGCATTGGATCTTTCCAGTGATGGATAGGATTCTATAGCACACAAAGAGGTGCTGTTGCGCATACTATATCATTCCCCCAAAAGAAGAAGCTTCTTGTGTGGACATCATGATTGCTATTTTACTTGTTCTTTGATTGTTTCACAAGTAAGACTTCATTGTCTGCAACTTAGATACATATGGCTTACTTGCTTCTTTAATCTTTGTAAGCAATACAAGATGTTGGTACATAATCGACTATAATTTCATGATTGAATCCAAAGTCTCAAAATGAAAATGGAACCCTTTTTTTTTTGGTCTTTGACATTCTTGCGATCTGAGAATCCGGAGGAGCTTTAGAAATATGTGTGAGAGAGCTTCCTTCAGTCCACTCATGGGTGGTATTGGGGTTTGAATCAGCTGCCGACTCATTCATTCACACACTCAGTGGAAAGGAAGTGACAGTTCTCGCCACCGCACAGCAGCAGACAGGAGAGGTCTCGGACTTGAGCTACCTACTGTGTGAATGAGTGAATGATGCGGGAGATTATTCTCTCTCTTCCATTCCATACTTGGACTGAAGGGAGCTCCTCTTTCTCATCTTTGAAAGCTTCTTCCATCTCTTCCTTTTGCCCATTACCTATGAAGTAGTTTGCAGTGAAGCCGATCAAGAAACACCATGTCATTTGCACCCTCTTCCCTTTCTCTTTCAACCTTCTTCTCTCCGGGTATCGAGCAAGGAAATTGCACTTCCACTGTGGTTGCTCGGGACTTGAGCTCATTTCCCTGTTCTTCATAGCACGTATGGGAAACCTTCAATGCCCGCTTGGCGATGGGGTTGCTCTTCTCATCTTGGACTTTGCGTCAATGACAGAGAGAGAGAGAGGTGTAGTGAGGGGTATCAGCCATGAAGCCCTGCACTCCTACACCTTTAAAATGCCTCAGCATGAGTGTTTCTTCTACTGTAGCACAGATCTGAACAGGCTTCAGAAGCTCCTCGTGCATCAACAGTGAAAGTACACTGCCTTCAGATCTACAACTCATAAAAATATGTCTTCGGTGCCCTCTGCAAATAACTCTTTAGCATTGGACGAGTACTCCGAGACACTGTTTCCTCTCTTCTCTCTCTCCCTCTGTGTCCATTAAATATTGCTGCTCTCTTGAGACATTGCCTGGAAAGGTGTTTTCACAAGACATCTTTCTTCTGATCATGCCACTGCTCTTTGTGACTGACAATGATGAAAGTACACACCAGCTCATTTTTGTATAGAGGTGTATTGTGCTATATAGCTAGCACAGTCTCTGGAATGGGTGATTGAGGAAGAGAGGTGGCATGATTCATCAAGGCTTTATGGATATTGTATTGGCTTAGGGTTGCCATTGCAAACGTAGTACCTTTTAAAGAATGGACATTACCAAACATGGAAATATAGGCGACGCAAAGTCAAAAGTTGGGTTAGGGTTTGGGGGGATGCCTCCCATTTTGGGAAAATGACTTTGCTTGGGGGAGGAGGTTGTTTCCATTAGCATGTAATGGAGCTTCACAAAGATAGAAGATCATATCTCTTTAGCAGTATGTGTAGGTGTGTAAATTTCAATTACTTGCATATTTGTTAAATCATATAATTATAAATTGATTATTAGATAATTATGTTTTATGTATTTAGGTGTTGACATTCAAAAAAAGAAATTATTTTTTTATTGGAAGTGTCTCCCATTTTTTAAATTTATTAAATATTTTTTTTCCTAACACTTGGATTTTTTTTTCCTCTTTTCTTTCGATCCGAATCGGTCTAATTATAATGTTTTTATATTATGTTATAGTGTTTTCAAGAGTGTCATATCAATATTATAAATTTTCTTAAAATATTATGTTTATAGTGTTTTTTTGGTTTGTTAAGATATAAATTTTTTTTCTAGGTTAAAAAAAGGTGGTGTTAAGGAATTCTGAAAATGAGGACAGAGGGAAGTGTAAAGAGATATATTTTTTTTCAAGAATTCATCATATTAAGTAACATGAAAAAAAAAAAGCTCCCTCTTTATATAATTTTACGTAATTTTTTGAGAAAAATTATATTTTTATAAGTCTAAAAAAAGTTAATATATATTTTTACATTTTTTTTATGTAAAAGATATTTATAGAACAATTAAATACTATATATTTCTTTATATACTTGATTTTTTTTCCTTAATCTTGAAGCAATTTGGTTCCTATTAAGATTCTAAAAATAATTATCAATCCTAATAAGTATAAAAAAAATTATAATCTTTTTCAATTAATTACGTAATATTATAAGAAGCTCTTATGATCATATAGAGTAGAATCCACAAAGCCCAATGACCAGTTTGGAACACGGTTCACGGTTGCATCTGGGCGACTTAGAGAAGAGGATCGGCTGATACGGTCAGGCTGCCGCCGTCGAGGCCGGCCGGGAAGCTGGAACCCGCCATGAAGTCGTCACCAAATATGACGGCCCCGGCAGCCAAGGCTCCAGCTCCGAGCCCCATACCGAATCCTGGTGTGCCGCCATGTCTCGCCGGCCCCGACGACGGTGGGGGGTTCACGTAAGTCTCCGGCAGCGGGCCTGTCCCCGGGAACAGCGACGGCAGGAAGCCAGTGTTTGAAGGCGGCGGCGGTGGCGGCGGCGGCTGCGTAGGAGTTCTGTGGTATCCTGTACCTGGCTCCAATGTGTTGTGGTAGTTCGCGGAGGGGTGTGCTGGTGGTCTCGGTAGGCTGCAAGGATGGCTGTGCCTGGCGAAGTCTCCGTGGACGTCGCCAAGGGATGGTGGTTGTGAACACGATGGGAAAGATATCACTGGACCGTCTTCTATGGCTAACGTGATTCCTTCCTCGTTGCCTGAGTACCTAAACCCTTCGTCCGTTGCTGCAAGTAGATGCAAGAAAGCACACGCAGCATTTCGACTCAGGAAAGGAAACTGCGGTAGGAGAGTGACGCATACCTTGGCGAGACGTGGATTGGTGGGTGTTGTCAGAGATGTGGATGGAGACGTCGATGAATCCATGAGGCTTAGTGGAATTCCGCTTGCGCAGCTGGAAGCTTCCGCTCTCCTTCATCCCACCTCTCGACGGCTCGGCAGCGTTCAGAAACTTGACGAGGAATTCCTTCAGCGGAATCACTGCAGTACCTTGAAGCTTCTCCCTCAGGAAGATGGGTTCTCTCTTGTAGACTTCCACCGTCAAGGCCAGCGCCTGCAAGCTGGAGGTCGCCTCATCGATGGTTGCAGAAAACTTGGTTTTCCAGGTGGGATTGGTGCTCCCAGAACTGTCCACTTTGGTGCAGTACTTGGAGTTGGGATCTATCCACCCGACCGCGAACCACTGGGGCTTCAGGAACGACGACGAGCGGTGGAGGCCACGAGCAGAGATCAAGCAGACTTCGACGCTGAATCTCGCCATGGTCGAGGAGCTTAATCACCAGAAACAGAAGACGGTGGGGCGAGACTTCGACTTGAACCGGCGCTGCAGGAGGCAAAGCTTTGTTTCCTTGCTTGCTGACGAGGTGATTCGATGCCTACCGGATGAGCACTTAAGACGGGAGTGACTGCCTCTTGCTGCTTCATGCAGTAAGAATCATATGCTATTCTGTCGATGCTGGAAAGAGCAAATGCTCTCAGATTCCAAACATAGAAAAAGATGTCTTCGGAAAGGAGGAACGCTATGTGATGCTGCAAAGCCAACGATGCACTTGCTTCATATCTGAAACCTAAAGCTGGTAGAAAGACATGTAAATTAATGTGTAAATTGACTTATATTAGCTTAGATATAAGAATGAAAATAATTGTTTGTCGCGAGGGGAGAGTTTATTGTTGATCCTATATATATATATATATATATATATATATATATATATATATATATGTATGTATATATATATATATATATATGTATGTATATATATATATATATATGTATGTATATATATATATATATATATGTATGTATATATATATATATATATATATGTATGTATATATATATATATATATATGTATATATATATATATATATATAAGCTATATGTATATATATATATATATATATATATATATAAGCTATATGTATATATATATATATATATATATATATATATATATATATATATATAAGATGATATTTCTGTGGCGTCCCCTCACTGGCCAAGTGCCGTTAAAGCTTAGCCGTGTGAGTGCATTCCTGGCTTCGCACCTTGAGATTAGAGACGTCGATGACTACGTGGCAATCGGAGGTGGCTACCACGTGGTGCATTACCAGGCTAAGAGGGTGATGCGACTTGACAACCTCATATTCGCATTGAATGCCATCATCCCTACGACAACATCCTCCAAGAGGCCATCCAACCCTATCGTGATTTGGTCGACCTCCACCACTAGGACAAGCCGGAGTACCTCGGATCTGATAGGGTGCCATGACGACCCCCCGACTCGGGCCCCATGATATTGGAGGTGGGCATAGCTGTTTGGGGGCATGGGAGAAGGTTGTGTAGTTGGGGTTATGAACACACACTACTACCTCCAACATGACACTAATCTCCATGTTAATAAAATTAATTCAAATAATTAATATTAAATATAATAAAAATAAGAATTTAGATTAAAATTATAAGGATAAGAAGATTTATTGAGCTATGGTTATTTAATTTATTCTTTAAAAAAATATATTTTATTTTTTAACTAATATAAAATATGCTCTTATTCCTTTTTATTTTTTTTATATTTAAGTTCTATAGGAAGTCAATAAGTGTGTTATCATAGCTCTGATTGGAAGAAAATCAATAAGAATATATTGATTAATAAAAAAGGATTAACTAATAGATTTAGAAGGTGAAAATAAAAAAAAAAAGAAGATAACATAGTAAGTATGTCTAATCAATTTCTTCCTATTTTCAAAGGTGAAAATTATCTAAACCGTTAAAATGAGTATTTTATTTATTTGATAACAATTATGAAATTTGGTAGAATAGAGTTTGGTAGAACTTATTTATTTCATCCCAATATTACTGAAGATCAAAAAGATCAAATGAATCAAAAGGATATAGTTTAAGACACAAGAGCTCTAAATCTCATAAAATTAGTGCACAGGTGATATTCATTCAATTCTAAATCTCATATAACTTTAAGGGCACCATGTAAAATATATCAAAAGGATATAGTTTAATCATATCTCTAAGGGTCAATTCAGTTTAAATAGAATCCAACGAGAGATTTGAAGTACCTTAAATTAGAATAATTATAACTGTTTGTACTGATCTCATATTAAGATCATATCAGATATGTTAGAATTGCAATAGATCATACAAAATTCAAAGTCTAAGTTACTTAAAAGTAGTTGAAAAAACTAGTGCATACTAATTGTAATTCAATGTGTGTGATACTGAGGCACTACAATCCTCTCCTCCTAATAAAAAATTTATCCTCAAAATTTGATATATCTCTTCTTTTTTTCCCCAAGTTACTTCCTTTGTTAGATGATTCTTTCATAACACTTTGATTAAAATAATCTTCTTATTACAAAATTTTTTCTCTTTTCTATCAAAAATCTATATAGCTTATTCCTCGTATATCAAATTTTTATCCAATTCTATTGGTTGTTCTTTCAGGACATAGGACATGAGAATGATATGAAATATACTTCCTCAACATTGATATGTGAAATACATTATGCACCTTAGCTAATGCAGGCGATAAGGCTAGTATGTAGGTTACATCATCAATTTTATCAAAAAAATTGTATAGTCATATATGTCAAGAATTTAGTTTTTCTTTCTTCTCAAACATCATAACATTTTTTATTGGTGTCATCCTTAAAAATATTTTATTGGCTGTTTTGTGTTACCTTGACAAATCTTTTCTACTACTAGTGATATTTCTCTCACCAAATCTAGCTCTAAATATTTTTTTTATCCATCTTACTCTGATGAATAAGTGATCTATATTTTTTGTCATACAGTGCCTTAAATAGTGTCATCCTAATGATTGTCTAGTAACTATTATTGTAGACAAACTCTATCAAAAGTAAACATTAGCTCTTAGCATATTTTCTAATATCTAAATGATTCTTTTGATTCATCATTTGTTTGAGAATGAAAAACAGTGTTAAAAGCTAACTTTATCCTCAGTGTCTTACGTAGACTCCTCCAAAATTCTAATATGAATATGAAATCTCTATTTGACATAATGAACACCAATACACCATGAAGTCTAATTATCTCTTAGGTATATAATTGAGCATAATAATCCATGAAATAATTAACACAAATAGGTAGCAAGTGGGTTGTCTTGGTTAACCTATCCACAATGATCTAAATTTCATCATGCCTCTTGCTAGTCTAGGCAAACATATGACAAAATCTATACTAACATTTTTCTATTTCTATTGGAGTATTTATGTACTTATTATTCTTTAGTGTTCTATTTTGATTTGCTGACATATGAGATACTTTTCAACAAATTGAATCATATCTCTCTTCATTTCTGGCCACTAGTGCTCTTTTATATCTCTGTACATCTTTGTTATTCCAAGATGCATTGAGTATAATTTTAAGTATGACTTTGTTAAAAAAATTTATTTTATGTGGTTTCTTTAGTACACATATTCTATCCCAAAATTTGATTACCCATTCATCAATGTAAAACTCATTTCTTTTCTCTACCTTAATCTTAGACTACAATCGGTTTAAATAAGGATCTTTAATCTATAATTTTTTTCTCAAAGGGGTTGTCTGCAGTGATAGTGTTGTCAATCTCTCAATTAACTTTTAAGAATTATCTCATATTTAAAATTTTATATTTCTATATAGAAAGGTTTTTGAATGGTTGATAAAACAACTAAATTAACTAACTTTCTACCCAATGTATCAACAACTATATTCACTTTTCCAAGATAATAATTGATCACACAATCATAATCTCTTGCTAACTCTAGTCATCTCCTCTGTCTCATATTCAGTTCTTTTTGAGTAAAGAAATATTTTAAACTCTTGTGATCGGTGTATATTTCATATTTCTCCTCATAAAAGTAATATCACCTAATTTTTAGGACAAACATCATCATAATTAATTTTAAATTATAAGTTAGATAACTTTTCTCATAATATTTTAATTGTCTTAAGGCATAAGATATAACTCTATCATTTTGTATTAAAACACATTCTAGACCATTTTTTGATGTAGAATTAGAGTTAAAGCTAATCTCTTTTTAGTTCTTGGAAACTAATTTCACAAGCACCAGTCCATTCAAATTTAATATTTTTTCTTATTAATTAGGTGAGAGGTGATGCTATCTTAGATAATCCTTTCACAAAATATTTGTAATAAACTGTCATCCAAGAAAACTCCTTACTTTCATTATAGTAGTCAGCCTATGCCAATTACTAACTATTACTATAGTTAGATCCATTAAGATCACTTCCTTGGATACATTATGCTTAAAAAATGTTATCTACTCTAGTCATAATTCATAATTCTTATGCTTTGCATAAAATTAATTTTCCTTCAAGATACTCAAGGTTGTTTTTATTTATTCTATGTGTTCTTCTTTAGAGTATGAATATATCAAAATGTCATCAATAAAAACTATCACATTTGTTAAATATCCTATGCATCCATCATTTAAGAGTATCCTTGCTTTCATTGTTGAAATAAAAAAAATTGGTATCTTTTCTTTAGAACCAACAAATATAAATATTGCTAACCCTAGAGGTTGAAATACATTTTAGTCAATGAAAGATGTTTAGACAATCAATCTATGTCTAATATAATATTAAAATATTATACATTCAATATTATTAGATTCATAATTAATTCATTGTCGATGATCGGATAAGATCTTAATCCTTGATCTAAATATATTATATCCTTTGTTAGAACAACTATATAATATATTACATACAATGCGGTTTGCCCGTTTTCCCACATAATTTAGCGATGCAAAGCTATCAAAATCAATTAATTCATGTAAGAAAATATTATAAATAAATATCTCACTCAAGGATTTTTGTCTGGTGCTTTTTTCTATTCTGATGAGATTGTTATGTAATTCCTTACTAAATGACCTAACTTTTCACACCAAAAACATCGTTTACCTTTAAGCCATTTTCCCCGTATAATGCTTTTCATATTCATTACAAGTGGATCTTTGCATATGAGATAGGTAAGAAGATTAGGGTGTTTGATCTACTTTTTCCTTGTATATGACGTTTGGGTTGCCCACATTATTGTCAATTACTTAGGTATCATTTTCTTTTGCTTTTCAAAATTCGAGAGCTTGGTGCCAAAAATTTTCTTAATATATCATGAGGCTTAGAGAATTCTTTGCTAGGCCTTCTCTGCCTCTAAAGCCTTTTTCACAATCAGAGAATAGGGAATATCTATGGCACTTATTGTTATCTTCACATTCTAATTATCTTCACACTCTCAATGGATTAATGCTAACAATATTGGGTGCAAATCAGGATAACTCCTTAATTCATCACCAATTATTCTTCTTATTTAAGGTTAATAAATTCTATCATTTTGATTAATTGGTGTACTACACTTAAATACTTTTAGTAAAAGATCTTCTTAAATCTTTCATAGGTCATCTTTCTTGCATCTTACTAATGACAAGTATCTTTACGCAACATATAAGTTGCATAAATAAATATTCTAGAATCTTTACGGACTTAAATATTTTCTCAATATTTCTTATCTACTCATCAGTTATGAATAGATCTATATCCCCTTCAAAGATTGATAGATCATTCTTATTCTTACACAAACGAGCATGAGAGTACAGTAACAAACAAAGGTATAACGACGACTTAAATATTTCCTCAATATTTCTTATCTACTCATTGAGTAGATCTATATCCCTTTCAAAGATTGGTAGATCATTCTTATTCTTACACAAACGAGCATGAGAGTGTAGTGACAAACAAGGGTATAACGACGATAACCGACAAAATAAAAACTAGAAATAATCTTATTTTTTAAAAAAATAAAAAATACTATGCGGGAATAAATTTAAAATAAAAAGAATGCTATGTGAGGAAAATAAAAAAAATAAAAACTTACTATTTTTTTAGAAATTTATCTCTCTCTCTTTTTTCATTTACAAGTTTCTATCATTAACAAGTTTCTGTAAGTTCCGAAATGTTCTTCATTGCTTCCAAACAAATTCACGCAAAAAAGAAAAAAACTATTTGATTTTATTCCAAAAGCTAACAAGAATACATTAGCATCCAAGACAAGCACTCATCAATGGGATTCAAAGGCTGTACATCATAATCTTAGCTCCAAAAGCATTGTGGCTTTGCTTAAGCCGTTGCAAATGAAAGTGAAGCATCAAACGCAGATCCCACATGAGTGATGACAAACCCATATATCTTGCGCTTCAGCCGCTCGATCTTCTCCTTCAGTGCCTCCTCCGCCTCCGCCGTCCTCCCCATCACCCCATCCAACCAGTCGTTGATCCGCTTCAGCTGTGACAGAACTGCTGCAACTTTGTTGTTGTCTGCGTTCTCGCCAAGTAAACGGAAACCCACATCCATTGCTTCCTCCACAAACTTCATGAACCAAATCTGCATTTCGCGTCTAAGAGCTTTAGCCAGATCCACTGTTTCACTCACTCCGCGGCCTCTCGTCCCGGTGTTTGCTGGGCTTTCTTCTCTTGGAGGATCCACTTGGGGAAATGGCGGTTTTGGTAGGCACTCTGTCTCCTTGCTTATTAGATGAAGAACTTCGAGGTCAGTGGCCAATGCCGCCTCAACCCATAGCATCGCATCCTTCGGCCCATCAGCTTTGCGGCCAGCAGACGGAGACTCGGCAGTACCACACCACCTCAAGACATAGCCGTAGACCGATAGGAATCGATCGATTGTTGGCACGGGGTTGCCGGGCTTGGATGCCGAACAGAGATCAGAAAACATGCTACGGGAGAAAAGATCATGAAACAACATGAGATGGAATAGCTTTTGTTAGCTAAGAACTGGAGAAAAGGTCAGGTCACCCACCTTAGACTCCTGACAACAGATTCAGTGACCAGGGCTTCTTCCAGAGCCTCAGCTGCAGCTGTGGAGGCGCTGTTTCTTCTGTGAAGTGCTTCCTGTGTGCCAGGAAGACGATGAGATATAGACCTTTTAATTGCAAGAACTATGACTGTGTTGAGCGACAGCTATATACCTTCCCCAGCCTCGCAAGGTTATTAGAGACAGAGTCGAACGGGACGCTGCCATCAGTCCACTTCCTGTCATGAACGGTAACTCTCGGGGACATGCTGTTTGGTTTCTCTGACTCGGAGAAGGATTCCATCTTTCTACTCGTTCTTGGCATATCATTGGAAGCTGCCTCCTCATTACTGTTTGGTAGTCCTCCAGCGTCGCTCAATCGCCTTGATATAGCAACCTAAGATCAATTTTGAAGGAGATGCATCCCATTTAACACAAGAACACATCCCTTCAATACTCCTAATGATCCAATGAGATCGTAATGCAAGATCATAAGATCTTGACAAGATGAACATGTTCGATGCATCCTATCATGACAAATGTAGAAGAGGACAGAGGAAATATAGTGTTCGTCACCTGAGTTCTCAAGATAGACTCTTTATCCACCTTGCTCTTCGATCCTCCCTTCTCTTTGGACTCAGAACCAACCGCGCTTGCCGATGGATCGTCCCAGCTCTTCCTGATTGACTTCACGGAACTCACGAGCGCGTCGGACGCCCTCGAGATCCCTGCAACCACCAGCCCTACCTTCTTCTTCCCACCACCCTCCCCAGCCGCTGGTGAGGACACCTTCAACCCGCCAGACGGCCGTCGCGCCGGGGACATGGAGCCCCTCCTCCCCATCGGTGATGCTGCCGCCTTCCGCACTGGGGAGGGCTGCCGGTATCTTGATGGCACGATGATCGCAGGCTCTCTTGCCACCCTCCGGTTCTCCTCCTTTGCCGCCACCAGGCTTGGCACCTCGCACTTGGACGGGATGGGTGACGACGCCCTCGAGGCCGCCCTCCCCATCGATGCAGGCGATGAAGGCCGCGAGCTCATCTTCAGGACCGGAGAGGGATCACGCGGCTGCTCCCCTGAACCGTTACCGCTACCGGGGCCACTCTTCCTGGCGGCCAGCTTCGCTGCAGCGGGAGATGGGAACCGCCGCGGCTTTTGGGCAGCATCTCCGTGGTTCTTACCGGAGCTGACCACGTTCTCCTTAGCGGCAAAGACGGTTCTTTTCTCTTCCTCCAGGCGGGAGGGATTGGATCCGAGGGACGAAGAGAAGTGGAAGGGATGGCCGGCATCGGTGGGGGAGGCGGGTTGGATGACAAAGCCGCGGTGGTCGGGGGAAGAGCGGGCCACGAGGGGGTCGGGAGATCCGAGGAAGGGGTATGGTCGGGAGCCGGGAACGGGCCGGAGCCCGATGGCGCGGGGTACGGGATAGGCGAACTGGAGGCGGTCGACGTGGACGAGCTGGCCGAGCTGGGGGCGGCTGGAGAGGACGACATCGGCATCAGCGTCGGAAAGGGCGACGTAGGTGGAGTTGGCGGAGTCAGATAGCTGGAGATAGAAGCCATGGGAGGGCCAGAGATCCTCTTCGGCGGAGGCGGAGATGGCGGGGACGATGCCGGTAACCTGAAGCACGGAGGAGCGATGCTCGCCGGCGACCCGGGCGTCGCTGTTCATCGATTGGAGAAGCTTGAGGAGGGCGCCCGGCGTGAGCGACGCCATCGGCAGCGAATACGAAGAAGACTCCAATGAAATGCTTCCTGGATACAATGTGGAACAGATGATAAGAGAGAGCGAAGAGGCGAGTAGCCGTTAAGTGAACGTTGGAACAGACACCGTAGTTTTAAAATTTGAAATGAGCGCCTTCCACGTGGGAGTCATAAATACACGGGTCAAACGGTTGTTACGTTTCAGCTGCGGCAGACGTCGAGAGGATAAAGGTTGAGACGGGATTCACGAACCGGGCTATTCGTGCGGCCTCGCTAGAGTAAGCTGGAGATCTGGCAGTGATAGAGATTGAAATTAATGGCCAATAGATGCAGTGATAAAGACTTTGGAAACACCTTTGGAGCAGTATAATCGAAAATTTGCAAGAAAATAGGTCAAAATAAGTCCAGCAAAGTAACTATGAACGACAATTTGCCGTCCGAATAACGCTACCTGCATCGGAGCTACTACGTCACACGCAAAGGTAAACGGTTTCATAATAGAAGTGTAGTTTATTCGAAGTCCAGAATAAAAAAGACGAGCAATAGGCATGTCACATGTCGTTAAAGAACTGTGATCATTTTTGGTTTACTCAGCCAAAATGCGAGTTGTCTCCATAAGGTAACAAAAATAACAAAGATACATAGCATTAAGGAAATTATTTTTCCACGATCACGGATAACGATAAATGATTGAAACAAAATTTTGTCATGTTGCTCGTGAGGACGAGCAACTTGAAGTATCCGAAAGAAGATTATTTGATCAACCCTTTTATGCCTATTCAGCCTAGAAAAGATGAGCAGCAATTATTAATTAGTTGTCAACAACTTCAATGAGGGTCGGTTCGTAGTCTGTCGGCGCCTCGAACCCATGAAGATTCATGACGGTGGCAGCGACGTTGGCCAGGCCACCATCAGGCACATCCTTGCGGAATCTGACACCAGATGCAAGCCCAGGGCCTCCTATGGCAATGGGAACCTGCAATTGTTTTATAAGATCAATAGCAAAGAATCCATAACCAAAACAGAAGCATAAATCCATTTTTATGGATTCACCTCAGTTTTTCATTAACCAAAATGAGTTCAATCAAATGTCAAGGAAAGCTGTATAAATTTTGATAAAGAGAACCACACTTCAATCTAAGACTTTAGGTAGAACATGCAGATGTTTTGAAGTTTCTTGAAGTGGACCCTATATATGTTGTCCCACTCGATAAGACCTGATCTTCCATTCAAAATCCCAATTTTTCACATCCATCTTCTATACCAAGCTAGACTGCTGTCTGTATGAAAAGGTGTTCAGCACTGCTAATGCCATATGAAAGTCAACAAATCTAGTAAGATTCAAGTCCTCCAAATCGGTTTAAACTTCAAAAGAGACCCCATTAAGACATCCCTTTCGACCATAACTTTGTGCGCTCAAAAATTATCAAAACCACCATCAACCAGAATCAAGATCAAATTCTGCAATACTCCCCCATACAACACTTTTCCAACAGTCCTCAATTATGATACTTTGCACTAGTAAATGACCAAATTTTATCAACAGAAACGAAAAGACTGTTCATGTCTGAAATCTTCGAAATTCCACATTGAGTTTCTAGAGTGTCCAATGAAGAAAAGAAATAGTAGATAGAACATCACATCTACACTTTGTAGACAATGTATGCAGCCAGCTTAATAGAGCTTCTCCAAGAATCTCATCAACTGGATGGTTCCAATAAAGAAAACCAAAAAATTATGTTTGTCGTAACAAGAATTGATTCTGAATAAGATTATGCAGAATGTCTCTCAACGTCAACAACATGCTCACATACTTGTTATCAGCCAACTAGAATATGGTCAACTTGTCAACCTGGGATCTAACTATCTCCTACAAATAGGATCTGACTAACAATAGCCTAGCGCACCCTCATTAGTATTATTGGCTTATGAAATTTAGGTGGAAGCATATGCAAAGATTACACTTCAGATGGTGAATAGGGAAGGAACCTGCAGACCCGTCTTAATAACATGGAACAATAAATGAAACACCAAAGTGTAAGATTTATTTATCAGTGAAGGCAAGTGGTGAGAAATTGATGTGTTAGCACACACGTCTGACCAGAACAGCATTCTTAAATGACTTATCATCCATGGAAAAACCTATTACTTTTTCAGTTTAATTTAACAACAATATGAGGCTACGCTGAAATGTCATTAAAAGGAGGCAAGGAAAAAAACATTAACATTAAACTATAAAATTTTCAAATTAAGCTCTGATAGACATTTAGAGTTAACTTCAGTATACTTACAGGCTGAAGAGTATGAGAAGTGAGAATCTGAATCTTCCCAGCTTTGTCGAGCAGTGGCTGGCCGGTTTTGTTTCTCTTTACCATGTCTTCAGCATTTCCATGGTCTGCGGTGACAACATAAATGCCGCCAACTTGCTCTATGGCATCCAAAATGATCTGCAAAGAGAGGCATCAAGTCCTTCAAAATTCAGTATCATTGTTTTGATCACAAAGAAAGTACCTGACAACGAATTAACATATGATATTTTATTTACTAATTTGAAACTACTGTCAGTTTCATTTAAAATAGGAGATTCAAATTGTTCAATGGGGGCTATGGTGTCATAAAGGAAATAAATCAACAAAGAGAAAAGCTAATATATAAGTGGCATTGGACTAACTAACAACTAAAACAAAGAGAAAAGTCAGCCGCTATATAAAGGACATTATCATGCAACAAAAACATTTCTTACACAATATAATCACAAAATACGAAATGAAGAGTTAAAGTAAGAAGCGTGTTTCTTAGTAAAAGGTAATGTTTAATTAAAAAACTTCTCTGCCTTCTAACAGTTCAAACGGGGAAGACGGGCGGGCACTTTAAATGAAAATAATCTCAGGATATCCTTAACGCAACCACAGCAAATATGCAAGGCGAAAGCCATTACGACCATCAATTATTACCTTAACAGCTTCATCAGCAGCCTTGCAACCCACAACAGTAGCCTCTATGTCGCCTGTATGTCCTACCATGTCTCCATTAGGTAGGTTCACACGAACCTGTAAGAACTTAATGAGTTACCATACTAAACAGAAAAGCACTTGTTCCTAAAAATATATTTATTTACCTGGTCAAACTTGCGACTGAGAATAGCATCCCTAACTTTCTCAGCAATTTCCAGAGCCTTCATCTTGGGTTGAACATTAAATGTAATTCCTGAGTCACTAGGAATTTCAACATATTCTTCCATGGATGAGTTAAAATATCCGGAACGATTTCCATTCCAGAAGAAGGTGACATGACCAAATTTGACGGTCTCACTGTTGGACAAACATAAAGAGGTTCCATGAGTATGCTAGCAATAGCTGCCAAATACATAACAAGAAAAAATTAGCTATAACATATAGATTTGCAGATTTTGTACAAAACATGCCTTTGTGAGCTCCAAAAGCATGTTCCTAAGAATGATGGTCTGATCACATTATCACAATCGGGATTGTCAATAAGGCACTTTATTACTCTGAATCTGCCAACTCTAGTTCTAGGAATTTTGGGAACAGCGCAATTCAGTTATTATCAGTTGAAATCAATTGATTGTCGTTGATGCCCAACAATTCCTGGGCAATTCTGCTGATACCAAGTTTAAAACCAGGTTGGATCATTACAAAAGTAGGACTAAGAAGAGATCAGAAAAGAGAGAGAGGAGAGAGGTGATAGCTAAAGAATGTGCAAATATATGACATTGCTATAGAACTATACCTGCATGCAAAAGTACGGATACCATTGTGCACCAAATATTCGCCTGATGTTCTGTCTATCTCAGGAGGAGAAACAAGGTAGCGGCTAGGAAGCTTCAGTTCACCATCATACTGAAGCATTCCAGCATATCGAATCTTTGGGACGCGAACACGATCAAATTTGTCAAAGTCTGCATATTCTAGTGCTTTAGCAATCATAACCATACGATCCGCTCGGAAGTTGAAGGTTACAACAGCATCACCATCCACTATTGGACCAACCGCCTTGCCACTCTCATCAACTATAACAAATGGAGGCAAGTACTGATCATTGGCCTTGGGAGCCTCCCTCAGTTTTTTCACAGCTTCGACAGCACTTCGAAACTTGTGTGGTGCTTCACCAAGAACTTGTGCATCCCACCCACGTTTAACGACCCCCCAGTCATTCTACAAAATGCACAAATAAATTGCGGTCAACAGCTAAAAATCTTGATATGAGAACCCTGGGAAGATGTGTCAAAAACAATTAAAGGAACTATCACAACAATCTGAAAAGGGTAGATCTCTGTTATTCACTCAAAATCAGCATAAAGACCAGAAATATAGTACATCTAATCCTACAAGGCATGCATGGCCACAAATTTGATAAAGGCAATGGCACCACTAACAAACACTCTCTCAAAGTTCCAGATAGACAAAACAAAAAAAAAGAAGGTAGAAAATAACATAATTTAAGACATACCTCATAGCGGTCCATGGTAACATACATTCGACCACCACCAGATGCAATTTGTGCATCAATGCCTTTCTCTCGTAGCTTAGCAAGATCATTCTCAAGTATTTCCACAAATCCAACACTTGAGCCATCTAAAACATCACGGCCATCAGTGAGGATATGAACACGAATTCTTTTGGCACCATTCTCGCTACACCCTTTCAGAAGCAACTGCAAGGAACAACACACTCATATAACTTGACCATATACAGAGGCAACCAAACAGGAAACAGAATGGGCTTTACACACCTGCAACTGATCAAGCCGAGAGTGTACACCTCCATCACTTAAAAGCCCAATGAGATGTAAGGTACTTTTATCAAAGCATTCTTTAATATACTTAAAGCCTTCTCCTTCGAATATTTTTCCAGATGCAAGTGCAAGGTCCACCAGCTTGGCACTAGAATCACAAGACATGACTCAGATCATAGAAGCGTAAATCTATGAATATATACTTTGCAGTATCTGGGCAGCCTGTTAACACAAAGGATGGACCGATACCAAGACCTAAGCAGAGGTTTTGATTGAACAGCACACCAATCTAACCTCTGGAGAAAGAGCATATAGAGTACCAAAAGGTTTCAAAAATATGAGGTCTGGTCTT